ATAAATAAATAAATAAATTAATTAATATCTTGATAGAATAGTTATCCCTCCCTACCATTTTCTTTCTTTCTTTTTTTTTTTTTTTGCGGAACCAGGGATTGAACTCAGGCCCTTGCGCTTGCCAAGGAAGCGCTTATTCCACTGAGCCATCTCCCTGGCCCCTCTTAGTTTCTTGTTTCTCTTTGGAGATTGGTTTTATTTACATGAATTAAGGCAAAAGTATAGTTTTTTTTTTTTTTGTGTGTGTGTATTTGTAGTGCTTTGTTAAATTCTGGGATCATAATAAGCATTTAGTAAAGCTACATTGATTTTTTTTTAAATTTTTTTTTGCGGAACCAGGGATTGAACTCAGGCCCTTGTGCTTTCCAGGAAAGCGCTTATTCTACTGAGCCATCTCCCTGGCCCCCCATGTTGATTTTTGTAGCTGTGACACTGGCTTTGAGTCAGTACTATGTAAATCAGTAAGGGGAGTCATAGAACTGAAATGCACCCTTCTCTGGGTCAGCTAAAAATGTTAGGTTGGAAACTGTCCTCATACATGGAGGCAGTTAACCAGAAGCTCTTCTGTCTCTTCCTCCCCCAGTGTATCAGGCACTGTCCTTGGAAAACTGCTGCCGGCTCAGCTCTTTTCAGAACTGAATATACCCAGAACCTTGGAGTCCTTTTTCTTTTCCTGTCTTATGAGCCTCCAAGTTGCTGGGAATATCTTTTGAATGACCTATATAGGCAGAATGTATGTCTGGCCACCCTCATTTTACCACATGTCCATCATACCCAAGTGTGTATCACTCCATACTGTGTATAAATGAATCATTTCTTTATTCTTTTATTTTTTATTTTTTTCAGAACCAGGGATTGAACGCAGGCCCTTGCGCTTGCCAGGGAAGCGCTTATTCTACTGAACCATCTCCCCAGCCCCTACTCTTTTATCTTGTCTACTCCTTCAAAAATTATCCTGTGGTACATTTTTTAAAGACCTGTACTAGGGGAAAAAACAAAACTAAGCCTTATTCTGTGAGATTCCCATAGAATCTCACAAAATAAGCATTGTGGTCTTGATGTATTTAACAGTAGGAAAACCATGTTAATGGAACTTCCATCCCTTCTCAGGTAACATGCATTTCACAGTGGCCTTCCGGAGACAACGCCTTAACCCAAAGAAGTGACTTGAACAGTGAGAACTTCAGGTATGGTTTGGTTACATTCCTCTGAGACAGATTTGGGGACAGGATGATGCAGAGGGCAAGCCCTGGTCATATAACTGCTATGTGGAGGTATGGAGAGAGAATAGTTGTTTTTTTTTTTTGCAGTACTGGGGATCGAACTCAGGACCTTGCACTTGCAAGGCAGGTGCTTATGCCACTGAGCTATTTCCCTGGCCTGGGAGAGTAGTGTTGATGCTAACTATATTATTTGATTGGAGAATAGTCAGTTTCCTCTTGGATTTGAATCTGAAAGCCTCCTCTGCAAGAATTAGCCTATGAGCCATACTGTCTCTTAATTTGGGTCCTCTTTTATTATTTTTTTATTATTTTTATATAGTTTCTTACATATACGCACTTCCTACTTGTGCTGATTTGTACTTTATTAACTATAAACTTGTTCAGACATCTGCATGTGCATGATTATGAAGTAAAGAAATTAAAAAGAAGACAGCACTGGGTGATAGAATAAAAAGAAAAGATGTAGGTTTTGGTTTTTTTTTTTTAAATGTATTTGATACAGAATCTCCCTACACAGCTCGGACTTGTAGTGATCCTCTTATTTTCAGCCTCCCCAGTGCTGAAACTACCATGCCTGATCTCAGTAGTAGGTCCCTGCACTTGCCTAAGCAGGCTCTTAGTTGACTGAGCTATCTCACAGGACCTCTTTTTGTTTTCTTTTTTTTTTTTTTTTCGGAACCGGGGATTGAACTCAGGCTTTTGTGCTTGCCAAGCAAGCGCTTATTCTATTGAGCTATCTCCTCAGCCCACCTCTTTTTGTTTTCTTGAGGCAAAATTTCACTATGTAACCGGCGAGATAGCTCGGGATGAAAGCGCCTGCTTAGGCAAGTTTAGTCAAGCACAAGGTCTATGGTTCCATTCCTGACACCACATGCCCCACCAGCCCTGCTCCCAGGGTGGGCTGAGCTGGCCAGAGTCTGGGCATAGTGGTGCATGCCTATAATCCCAGAGCCGGGGTAGTTGAAAGCAGGAGTATCACAAGTCTGAGCTGCCCAGTGAGACCTTATAACAACCAAATACGTTAAAAAACAAAACAAAAGGGGCCGGGGAGATGGCTCAGTGGAATATGCGCTTCCCTGGCAAGCACAAGGGCCTGAGTTCAATCCCCAGCTCCTCAAAACCAAAACCAAAAACAAAACAACAGCAACAAAAAACCACTATGTAACCTAGGTTGGTGTTGAATTCACTTTGATCATCCTGCCTCAGCCTCCTGAGTGCCAAGATTATACTTATGTGCAGTCTTAATGGTGATGCCTGGCTGTAAATATTAATCTTTACTATTCATTCATCTTTGTGAACTTTGAGTCTATATTTTTGTTAATTGCCCTATAAATGCTTGAGACAGACATGTGATTTGCTTATTGTGGTGCCCTATTTGTTATAAGCAAGTGAATGCTGAATCTGTTCTTTTTGAAAATTATGGAGAGGAACTGGTGGGGTGATTTGTGAGAGATGCTAGAAAAAAAGTAGGGGGTCAGTGTTACAGCTCAGTAGCACAGTGCCTGCTGGCAAGTGCAAAGTCCTGAGTTGGATTCTTGGTACTCCACCCCCCCAAAAGATAAAAAAGAAAAGAAAATGGACAGCAGAAAGTTACATGACATGCTAAGAAGAATAAGTCTCAGATGACAAAGATATAAGAGAGCAGGATTGCTGAAAAGATTAAAAAGAAGTGAAAAGGTAGAGGAAAAAGAGAAGATATTCTTGGTAGTAAAGAAAAAAGCCCCCCCCCCCATTTTGATATCATTCCCAGGTTACAATTTTTTTTTTTTTTTTTTTTTTTTTTTGTGGAACCAGGGATTGAACTCAGACCCTTGTGCTTGCAAGGGAAGTGCTTATTCCACTAAGCCATCTCTCCAGCCCCACAAATTTTTTTTTTCCTTTCTGATGAAACTGGGGATTGAGCTCAGACCCTTGCTCTTGCCTGGGAAGCGCTTATTCTACTGAGCCATCTCCCTGACCCCTCAGGTTACAATTTTTTTTTTTTTTTTTTTATTTTTATTTGTGTGTGTGTGTGTGTGTGTGTGTGGCCAGCTCAGCCCACCAGGGGGCGGGGCTGGCTGGCATGTGGTGCTGGGGGATTGAACCGCGGTCCCTGTGCTTTAGCCAAGCTTGTTTCAAGTAGGTGCTTTAGACCACTGAGCCATCTCTCCAGCCCCTAAGCTTGTTCTAAGTAGGTGCTTTAGACCACTGAGCCATCTCACCAGCCCCAGGTTACAATTTTTAATGTTTATTTTCTGCTCTGACAGAAAATTTGAATATATTTTGCTCATGTCTTGAGACTTTCAGGAAACTGAGATTAAGGATGACAGACTAGGGGCCAGGGAGATAGCTCAGTAGAATAAGCACTTGCTTGGCAAGCGCAAGGGCCTGAGTTCAATCCCCGGTTCCACAAGAAAAAAAAAAAAAAAAAAAAAAAAGGATGACAGACCAAACCAGTAGAGAAAATGTCAAGAAAGCAACCCATTGTTCAGGTTGTAGCTGGGTACTACTTAGTACATTTTTTTTTTTTTTTTTTTTTTAAATTTTAGGGAAAGTTCTATAAGGTGTTCAGGGTCTCACTACTAGATCAGACTCATAGTGATCCGCCTGTTTACAGCCTCCCAAGAGCTGGGATTACAGGTGCGTGCCACCATGCCCAGTCTCAATTGCTGGCTCAGCGCATCCAGGGGGCGGGGCTGGCATAGCAGATGCTGCTTGGTACTTCTAACATGATTTAGGCCAAGAAATTAGAGCAAAAAAAAAAAAAAGTTTTTAGTTTCCATAGGAAGAGCCTGCAGAGTGGTACCTGGGAGAGCAGGATTGCTGAAAAGATTAAAAAGAAGCTTAAGACAATAAGGTGACTTGAGAACATCCTGGGAAATAAGACCTCACCCGATAGTCTACAAAAAATAAAAACCTTTGCTGTAAGAAGAAAAGGCCCATGCACTGTACTCTTTTTCTGGGCTGAAGAGGAAAATTTCCCAGAGTTCAGCCATTTGGTCACTCAGAAGCCTCTGCAACCATAAAGGGATGCTGCTATAGCTTGAACTTGGAGCATACTTTAGTGTCCACGTGATACTGGTTTTACAGGCATGCTGGATGCAAAGGTTATGGGAAGGAAGCTTCCACCCAGATGTCAGGAGAAGGCCTGGGAGGCCAGGCACTGTGCACCTGAGAGGACTGTATATGAAGCTGTGAGGATGAAAGCAGAAGTGCACGGAGACCCCAGAAAAGTAGAGAAGCCAGATATATGGAATGTCTGATAAAAGCTGCAAAGAGTGACTAAAGCTAGCTAGCCTGACAGAGAATCCACATAGGCTACAACCACCAGGAATCTCATAGGGATAGGGCTACTCCCATCTTTTTAATTCATATTATCCCACTTGTCATAGGTGCCGGATGTGGCACTATAGGATTTCATGTTTGCCCTGTTGGGTTTTGGTTTTGCTTTGTTTCCATTGGTTTTTATCCTCCTGTTCCCCCCTTTGAGAATGATGGGAATATTTACCCTGTGCCTTTATATGTCAACAAAGTTTAACTTTCTTTTGAGTTTTACAGGGTCTTACAGCTAGGAGTTTCCCTAAAGTCGCAGCGGAGGCTTTGGACTTGGATTTTTCAGCAATACTGAAACTGTTAGGTCTTGTAAATTCTTAGAGGTGTACTAAATTTGTTTTTGTGGGGCCAGGGGTGGAATGTACATGTTAAGAGTATAGCCCTCAAAGCTTCTTGCTCCTTTTGGGGCTTTTGTAAGGGTGATTGAATTGTGAGGGTGCTATAGCTGAGTTGGTGTTAGGAGATGGGACCTGTCCCTGGGAGGAAGGTCTATGGGAATGTGTCCTATAAGGGTAATTTCTCTCTGTCTGACTCCTTCCTTCCTTCTCTACTTCCTGGTTGCCATAATGTGAGCAGCTTTCCTTTGTAAGATACTTTACCACGTCTTCCTGCCTTGGTAGTTAACTGCAGACTGAAAACATGAGCTAAAATAAACCTCTCCTTGTTTAAGTTCCAAGTGTTGAATATTTTATCCCAGCTCTGAGAAAAGTGATGTGGGCGTGGAAGCAGGAAGATAAGGTGGGAACACAAGTTTGACACCAGGTTGGAGAATTTAGTGAGACCCCCATCCTACAATAAAAAGAGTTGCAGGGGCCGGGGAGATGGATCAGTGAAATAAGCGCTTCCCTGGCAAGCACAAGGACCTGAGTTCAATCCCCGGTTCTGCAAAAAAAGAGTTGCAGTTGTACTTCAATCAGGAGCAGTGCTGGCTTAGTACTCTTGAGGCCCTGCTCCTGGATTCATTCCTCTGTACTACCAAAAAAAGAAGAAAACAATTAAAAAAAAGAAAAGAAACATAAAAATCACATTTAAAAATTCACCATTTAGGGCTGGTAAGATGGCTCAGTGGTCTAAAGCACCTACTTAGAACAAGCTTAGCAAAGCACAGGGACCACAGTTCAATCAATCTGGCAGCACCACATGCCAGCCAGCCCCGCCCCCTGGTGGGCTGAGCTGGCCACACACACACATACACACACACACACACACACACACACAAATAAATAAATAAAATGAAAAAAAAATTAAAATTCACCATTTAGGGGGTCAAGGTGATAGCTCAGTAGAATATGACTTGCCTGGCAAGTGCAACAGCCTGAGTTCAATCCCCAGTTCCGCCAAAAAAAAAAAAAAAAAAAAAAAAAAAAAAAATCACCATTTTGGACTGGCTAAATAGTTCAGCAGAGCCTGCTTAGGCAGACACAGAGGCCTGGGGTTTGATCACCAGACCTGCCATGCTGGGCTGCCAGGGGTGTTCTGAGACCACAATTGAGATTGGACGTGGTGGTGCATACCTGTAATTCCAGCACTTGGGAGGCTGTAAACAGGAGGATCTCTATGAGTCCGATCTATGTAGTGAGACACTGTAGACCCTGTACTAAATACAAAAAATAAAATATAAAAAAAAATAAGTAAAAACTCACCATTTTAAG